GAGGGATGGCACAAGGGGAGGAATCAAAGTTGAGTACGCATTGCTCAACCTGAACTTCGAGCGGACTTTGGATGTTGGAGCCAAGCAAGTGCGATTTGGCAATATGCTCACCAATCGCATTTGCTTTCTCCTGAGGGGTGATTATGAGCCGATCGTCATCATTTTCATCTTTTAGTGGCGGAATGGGTTTAGGGTGCGTCTTTAAGACCTTGGCAACTTTCCAGAATGGTCTGGAGCGGTCGTCCAGATTCTGGACAAGCCGCCCGAAACTTTCGTTCCGGAGTGAGACCATTCTGGAAGCAATCTCCTTGTTCAGATCGGCCATTTCACGTTTCATCGCTTGATCTCCAGTCCTCTGAAACTGGCGTCTACGAACATTTCTCAGGCGAATTAAGAGTTGGGTGTGGGAATCAATAGCAATAAACTTACCCCTCACAGGAACTCGTCGGATGCACGCCTCGTCAGCCACGGTTATGGCTTGGTGGAGTCCCTCCAACGCTCGGTCGATGTCCTCCACGGTGTCAAGCGGCGGGTTGTCGATGATGTGCCTGTCTACCACGCGTCCAAACTGGGCCCAGTTTACGCGATGATAGTCCTTGCGCAGGCTTGAAGCAGGAGCCACGTTGCAGCCCAGCTCAGACACCACCGGTTGGTGGTCGGAACTGAGTTCGTTCAAGGCTACCGGCTTGGACAAGCCGATATTTGTCAGGAACAGGTCTAGCGTCGATGGGTTGCCCGCCGGTGAGATAAATGTTGGCTCATCCGAAAACCAAACGGAGTACAGCCCATGCTGTGAGTGGTCGAACAGGAGACGACCGTTCTGGTTCTGCTGGTAGTTCCGCCAGGCCTCATGGCGAGCATTCAGATCTCCTCCAACTACGAAGCGGGAACCGGTACGGGTGATGGTGGACAGGTCCTTCTTGAATTTAGCCGCTAGTCCACTGCTGGCGGCACACTGTCGAGGGCAGTAGACGGCGATGAACTGGACGTATCCAGTCGACGACTCCACCTCCACACCAAGGGCCTCGATGATAGTGGTGCGGATATGGGACAGAGTGTGGTATTTTATTCCTTTCTTGACGACGACCGCAACACCACCCCCCCTGGAGCTGGTGCGATCAAGCCGGATAATGTTGTGGTCAGGCAACCAGAAGCTGTCACCGGACTTTAGATGGGTCTCGGTTAGAAGGCCCACGTCGATGCTGTGCTTGCGGAGGAAGTCGGCAAGCTCAATCTCTTTTGCTCTTACAGAGCAAGCATTCCAGGTGACGATACTTAGCGGTTTAGACGCCATACTGGATGATGAACTTACCGAGCACTTGGATCTGTTCGGGCTTATTGCGGCACTTACGAAGAGCACCGGACATGTTGACGAAGATTTCCATCAGTTCATCCGCTGAGAACAGATCGGGGTTGTTGTTTTGCGCTGTTGGTTGTCTCCAGAATCCAGGGGGGGATGGAGAGCTTTGCCAAGCAGAACCACCGGAAGTTGCTTGAGCGGAATGCACCCGCGAATTCACTTGCCTTTGCTGAGGAGCACGAAGGGGCGGGAAATCCTCCGTCCGAAATGCCGGGACTTTGTCCTTCTTGCGTCCTGGTTGGTTGTTAGTTGCCGCTTGTTTTCGGATGCGTTTGAAGTCCTCGCGTTTGGAGCACTGTCTGTCGGAACCTTGATGAGCACCACCACAGTTGGCGCATTTTAACGCCACGGCTCCATCCGCAGGGCAGTTGGAAGTGGCGTGTTCTTGAGCGCAGTTGCTACAGCGTGGCTTGATGTTGCAGTTGCGAGTGCCGTGTCCAAAGTTTAGACATCGTTGGCACTGGGTCACATCGCGATGGCCTCCACGGTATGGCTCCCATCGTACGATTATGGAGTAGATTGAGCGGATAGCCTGCAGCGCATTCAGCGTCACCGTTCCCTTCTGGAAGTGCACCAGGAAAAGACAATCCGGGTACGTCTTCACGTTTTCGTCTCGCCTCGTCATCCGAAAGACAGCGATTGGGGCCAGCTTGTACCGGTCCTTGAGTTCTTCTTCGATCGCCTTGGGATCAACATCCGGTAGACCCCTGATGACTACCTTGAAGGGCTTTTCACCGGGGATGTCGTGCGTGAAGTATTCCGCATTGGAATCCTTCAGGAATTTGACTGCGATTTCGTATTCCGCTTTCGTCCGCAGCATCACCTTAGTGCCGATCCTGCTGATCTTGTACTCAGCTGCGATGCCCAGCGATGCGAAATCGCCAATGAGCGTCTTGAGTGGCACTACCTTCACCACCAGTGGAGGAAGCTTGATTTTCGCCGCACTCGGGCCGCCAGAATTCTCGGTTTCGACGGCGTCGCCGAAATCACCGATGTCGCTGGCGTTCGTCGCGGTAACATCGTCGCGTCCGCTCGTACCATCGGACTGACCTTGGTTCTTCTTCCTCTTTTTCGTCCGCTTCACAGGGACTGGGTTGGTATTTCCAACATCGGTGGGCAGAGTAGCGTACCTATTTGAGGTAGGTACCGAGCTACCCTCACCACTGTTCTTCTTCACCGCTTGTTCACGAAGTCGGCTCCGAGAGCGCTGTCTTCCCATCACGCGATGCGACCGACACTACTGACGACGCGACGTGCAGTATATCTGCAAACGTTTGTAACAAACTATAGATTTATCGAACAACTCGACAAAGCGAGCAAAGACCGAACTATACTGCTTGACGATCAAGCAGAGAATCCAGGTACTGAGGGAGAACCTTCCAAAAAAGATGGAACGGGCGACCTTGTTGGACGCTTATATAGTCATGAGCAGTGGCATGAGAGCAGCGCTGATTTATATCTTTTCAGGTTCAAGCAGAATGATGTGCAACCAAGTGGTATTCGTTTATGATGACTGGGTTTGGGAAAAAGGCTTATTTTATGAAATCAGTGATAAAATTATCATTTGTACATTTTCAAAAGTTTAATTACAGAAAAATTGGAAAAATATTTATTTCAACAGGTTCGTAATGTAATATCCTATCGATTGGCGTATTTGGATTTTAATTTCATCCATAAATGACAAAGTTACAAGCGTTCAAAACCTAACACTCCTTCACCACACATATTTTTTGACTTGCACCCCAGTATAGTCGACAAAGACGTAGTTCTACGTCAAAAACACTGGAACTTTCGTTGGCAGCATCGAAAATCTCCACCGGAATTGACTGCAACCTGAGCTAGAACCTGCTCTATTAAGAATGCTAAAAAAAATCCAATGGATCTTTCGTTGGCAGTACCGGTAATCTTCACCGAAATCATCCGGAATCTGGTCCATCGGAAACGTCGGAAAATGTATGGAACTCGGTGTGGAACGTTTGATGTCTTCGCTTTTTATCAGTGTGATGTTTTGTCTTTTTGCGACATGTCAATATAAACACTGAAGTAAAAAGTCGCTCATCCTGACAGATGACATAATAGACATCGCTTATCTATTTAATCCTGCATTTTTTCCTTTACTATAGTTTTTCAGCCTTTGGGGTTCGTCTCTTTTAAATTTAAAGGCGTTATAAAAGAGAAACCCCAAATTACAGATTTGTATGCGGGATCCCAGATGGGGATCATCGGAAAAAAACGGAGTGGATGAGATGGCGATTCCAGTGGGAGATTTCTCATAAGGGAACCTTTCCAGCTTTCAGGACAGCAATTATGCCATATTTTACGCTGGAATCCAAAACAACATGTACCAAACTCTGTATTCGGGATTGTCCATTAATTATGTCACACTTTTAGAGGCAGTGGGGTTTAGGAAACCGTCACGAGCCACGCACAAAAAAAATTAGGTCCATACAAAAAATGTGGTAGAGGGTGTGGGGGCTGGTTGAAAATGGGCCAAATTTGTGTGACATAATGAATGGACCCTTATGGCTCGTCACGGTTTCCTAAGCCCCACTCCCCCCTAAAAGTGTGACATAAATAATGGACGATCCGTAATACAGAGTTTGGTACATGTTGTTTTGGATTGCAGCGTAAAATACGGCATAATTGCTGTCCTGAAAGCTGGAAAGGTTCCTCAACAAATTAATAAACCCCTTTTCCATTATCGTAATTCAGTTTCTGTTGTCCTACATATGTGTTTTAAACCTAATCTAAATTCCAATCGTGTTCTTGGCTGCTGGAAAAGTTTAAGTAATGTGGTTGAGGTGGTTCAAATGTTGTGATACAAGCCGGCGTCTTTAATGAAACATAGGAGAGCGGCTTCCATGGAGGGATTATCCCGGATACTACTTGGCATTCCATATAGGTTCCGGATGCCCTGAAAGCAGGAACAGTTGATCACTATGTTGTCGTCCGTCATTTTGACTCCACAAGTGTCACATTTCTTCCGGAATATGGGTGCTCTTGCCGTGTAATATGTGACTTTTGTGTGACCGGAACGCAAACGGGACAGGACACGTTGGTCCCGCCAGCTTGAAATATCTGTCCATCTTGTTGTTTCCCTTTTAAGCTTGCAAATAAATGGCTCTGTTCTGGAAGCCCACTCGCTAACCTAAGCTTCGCGAAGTATCGATTTAGTCCATTTTTTGGCGTCCATACCGGAGACGCTCGTTGAAATCATGCAAGCTCTACGGCCGGTGGCAGCGAAGTGATTCGCTTCGATGTTTCCCCTGATCCAGGGAATCCAGAGATCCAGAGGAAGATGGTATTGTGTGGGTTGACTTTCAATCCCCTGGATCCACGGATGACGTGTTACCGGTGATTTCAATGCTGCGATAACACTGGCGGAGTCAATTAATATACATAGCGTTAGCATGAATAATTTCACTGTAAATGCGTTTGCCTAAATTAATAAATCAAAAAAAAAAGAATATGAATCTAGTGAAACATAAAACCGACTCATGGGATTTGGACAACGTTATAAAAAATAAAAACACATGCACTGCAACCACAAAGCCGACCTCCCGTCGACTGCCATAAAACCCACATAAAGCTAAAACACACAAGCCGTCGTAAAACGCACATCGCAAAACACCCATGCCTACTACAACCGAGCTTCGGGAAAACAGAACGAAAGCTTCAGATCACAGAACAAACGAAAAATGTGACACACATACTTTCCAGCTTCTTCCACGACCGTGGCCAACATAAATTCTGTTGATTTATCGTTCACAATCACATGACAGTCATCAATGTCAGGGGACCTGTGAAGGATCACACAAAAATCGGAGGCAAGGAGGAAAAGGAGAAATGAATTATCAGCATCAAAAGTGCGGAAAGCATTGTCGGTCCAAATGATATGATATGATGATGGTGGTATTGGTGGTGGTGGTGGTGGTGGTGCGGTGTGGAACCACGGAAACTGTCCGATGGGATTTGGTGACGATTCTGCGAGTGACATCAGTTGGGGCGTGTGTTTGTGTGATTTGCTAGTTTTGTTTGCTTATGGTGCTTGATATTTCCTTAGAGGATGGGTCATTCCTCGTCGAATAGCACAACATCTAAAGGAAATCTCACCCAACAAAGCAATGATTAATGTGCGAGTTGGCGTGGAATGCCCGACACGTGGTTCGTGTACGATTCCACAGAGTTGGGTCAGTGTTAATTTGTGTACAGTTGATCCACCTGCGGTGACTTGGCTTTGTTTACTGGAAGCTTACACTCATCGGAACTTGGGTATCATTGTTTCTTGGATAAACGAGTAAACGACAAAATACAGCAGATGAAAGCGTGGATCACGGGTGAGATCGAAACAAGGAGCTTGTGTTTGGTGTACCATTTGCCCATAAGTCATGCAGACATTTCTTTTGGATTATTGCAGTGAAATTCCATCATATGTAAGTGTGTACGAATTCGGTTCATTTTGGTGTATAACATGTATAGCATATTTTTTCTGTTTTATGGATGATGTGTGAATCGGCTGTGGCATCAATTTGTCTTTCTAAGCTTACCCCGCATTGTCGTCGTCCTCTTCGTTTGAACCGGACGCCGTGTTGGTGGGCGCCTCGTCTGGCAGGACCTTACAGGAACCGGCACTCTTGGTGCTGCCGTCCAGCTGCGTCTCCGTGGCCACCTTCGTTTGAGCAATGTTCTCTATCAGACTACCGCCGGCGGTGATCTCCGATATGTGGGGCTTGCGGGCTGCACGTTGCTTTTTCGCTCGCTTTCGTAGGGCCTGTTGGAGGGGGGTGAAAGTGCAAAACATGAAAAGTCAATTAGTAAAATTGACTAGATTTCATTTTGGAACCGTCTTATGATAATTATTATACTTTGGATTTGTTATTCAGTACACTAAGTGAGCATACCTGGGCTACTTCGAATGATGGTATAGAATATCCGGTCACAAATTTGTTTTTCGGAAAATTTTTAATTATTTTGACTTGCCTCACACCCTATGGGGCAAATCGCAGTGAGTACAGCGGGCAAGCTTAAATGGTGAACGTCGTATTCTCGAAACAAACATCAGTTCAATTATTTGAAGATCAGCCCAAAAGAAGCGGTGAGTGCCCGTAAAATAATGAATAGTGTAAAAAACAACATTTTATGTCCAAATCATGGTCTACAGAACCCTCAAAAAACCCAAATTGTTACTTGGGCTAGGTGCTCCAGTTACTACAGTAACTTACCAGCCTAAAATATTACGATATATATCTAAGTGTTTTTACATTGATCCTGCCTTGGAAATTCAGTACAGACAAACATACGTTACTCTTTGAAAAAGTTTTTCTTGAAAACATAGTATCTCAAAACATACACAGTTCGAAAAAGTAGTGTAAATTTCTGTCACTATGATGCACATAAATGGAGCGTCACATACCATACAAATTCACATTACAGATCGTGTAAACTTATGAGTCATTTCATAAAAATTCTAAATATTGTATGCAACCATCCATCTTTGTAAGCAATATTTCTTGCAAGTTGCTAGTTTACGTAAAAAGGAAGTTTACATGCTTCAATTTTGCATGCATGGATATTTACATCACCATTAAAATTCATATTTGTTTGGTGTGTAGGACCTCAGTAACGACATCTCTCGGGCTTCCCGCGGAAAACAAGCTTGCTCGCTAACTCGCAAACAATATTGCATAAAAGTTCTATAGAATGTATAGAAACTTAATAGTGATCCGATGCCAGCGCTGCGTTGAGTAGTCCGCGAAGCTTATAATATTCAAATAAATCGTTAAATGCGTAAACGAAGATACACATTGAAGTGTTACGTCTGTTTGTCTGTGATGCCAGCACTGTAAACTAAAACTAAATCTTATCTAAATATAAAGAGAATTAATTGTTGCAATTGAGGTACTAAAGTCTCAACGTTCGAAATTCTATGTACCTCGGTAGTATCACAGACAAACAAACATAACTCATAAAAGACAATTCATCAAAAAATATCGTCAATCGTATTTTGCATGCACACTAGCATCCTCTATCCACATTCCCAAGCATTGATGTGCAACCGGAGTATCCTTTTTTTCTCCAATTGCTTTTCCCTCGTCCTGTCAACACGTCAGCTGTGTTGAACAAAAAGAAAACAGATGCAAGTCATTGATGTCGGTTCTGCCAAATTTTACGTAGATCTATGATAAAATTGATTGTATTTCGCAGAAATACGGATCCGTATGAGATATTCACAAAAAAGCAGTATTTTTTAGGGATTTATTTTGCTTGTTTAGTGTGATTTTTCTTTTGTTGGAAAAAGTTTTTAAACGTGGTAATGAATCACTAATTTGTGCCCTTTCTACCACCGCTCATCATTTTAATATGTACACAGCAAACAAATATAATTTGTATCAATCAATGCTGTGATGATGTATTGTAACTGATAATGCCTTGTTCTGACTATAATGTTATAACATGTTACAAACGTGTTGTTTGAGACTGAACCACCCACTTGGGGCATGAAGTAGTTCGCCTCCTCGTGGTGTGCCCTGGAAACGTTAATTATCGAACCCAAGGGAGAGATATTGCGGCTAAACGAACTACAGCAGAGTAAGGACGCTGGAGCCCCATCCAGCTCGTCCCAGGAGGTTGATAAGCCCTGCACAAACCCTCGTTGTGCAAAGGCAGGAGTGACACGTCACATCTGTCCTGTGCTGCCGTGGACAGTTGGCTGGCTATCACGTCTGCTCTAGAACTCAGGCGAACAAATAACAGCGAACAATAAGAGGATGGCCCTGCACAGCTGCTCACTGTGCAGTAGCGAGTGTCACGTCCGTCTGCTGGGACCGATAGTACCCGAGAGAGTGCAACTGTTCGAATCACCGATTGTCGCCGACCGTAGGTAGACTTCTGCACAGCGCGCGAGGGAGATTTGGGCTAGGCGACCATAGGTCAAGCGATGACCAGATCGGGAGACGGGAGACGGGAGATCAGTTGATTTCCGTCACCGTATAGTGTAAGTTAAGGCTTAATCACCCGATTTAACCCGGCACTCCCGGCTACGAGCAGGATACTTCACCCAAAGACGTATGGATTTTGGGCGTTAACGATAGAAAAGAGAAAGAAAGATAATGCAATTTAAAACGTCTATTGACTAATCTGACCTTCTCTTTCTCCTCGCTGATTCTCGGTGACACACGGTGGGGCCCTTCGATGACGGCGGCGGCGGTTGTTGTTCACGTCGGCTCACCTTTGCAAATCACTTGCCTTGAACATGGATTCTGCCAAACAACCAGTGTGACAGTTCAGTAGGCAAGAACGAGAAAGCGAAAGTTTGGGGCTCCAGAGATGATTATAGACCTTTTTGACGTTTAATTGTCTTTCTCTATTTAGAACGGACGGTTTGTTTTCCCACTAATCTGTTTCCCTCTTGCTCGCGCTCATTCGATTTAAATGGTGCAGTTTGACGAGAGGTTCAAATACGTTGAGCTGGTGGATACATTTGCTGTTGCAACGCTCCTCGACCCCCGTTTCAAGAGACTGTGCCTGGAGTCTTCAGCTCACGCTCGGGCAGTTAAAATAGTGTCTAAGCAAATCTATAGCACCGAAAGAGTATACGATGATATGAACAAATCTTTCTTGCATCAGCCTGTTTTCCCATGTTCTGTCGATACTTTTCAAGCATAAGAGAAAATCCGTAGTGAATATCCCCATTGCTCAAATAGTAACAAGTGTTTCGTCAGAGAGGCTATTCTCTAAAACTGATGAAACTACACATAATAGATATCGGCTGAATGCTAAACGCATGGCTCAATTAGTTTTCTTGCGCCTTCTTGGATGACTTTTGGGATCTCTGAATTGAGTACTTTTACACTCCGACCATCTAATCGTTTTGTTTCATGTATTAATCTTTTGTTTTTTAAATCGTTCATTTAATACCAATAAAACAAATATTATAACCTGTTAAATCACTCACCTAATAGAGTATCCTGAGCAAAACTTCCACATGACAAATAAAATTAAAAATAGTCATTTACTATTTACTACTTTCGCATGATATATGTATGTTAAACTCACAACTTTTACTGCGTACGTATTACACAATTTATTTCTAAATTATATCAATCATCACACTAAATGACTATTACAAGTGAAATGCCATAACTAGATAGCTTATGTATCGTAATATCAACTTTATACTTGGCGTTAATTTGCACCAACTTTCCTATGATCCGTTATATTTGAAACATTTCTGTGCCATTTTGAAAAATATATCGATTCAAAATGATTAATTAAATCGGTGAATCGATTATTTTCAAAAAAAAAAACATCGATTCACTAAGATTGATTCTTGCCTCAAGATCGCCCAATGCTACTCCAGAAACGGTCTGTGCTGAGCGTTTTCTCCTGGCTACACTTCTAGCTGCCTAGCAGCGGTCCTTGGCGTTTAGCGGGGGGATGAGCGAGGCTTCTTTATCGGAACCCCCCGGCGACGATGGTGACGAATCATCGAATCAAATACTCGCCGTAGATGATCCCGGTAGTCACCGCAGTGGATACCCAGGTGAACACTTTTTCGGTTCCGGCTGCTTGGACTCTCCTTGGCTCCTAACTGCGGTGGCGAGAATGGCTCTACTGGCTGAGCCACCGCAGTGAGACCGGCGGGTGTTTGGAGATCCTTGGTGGTTAGCCGGGAAGTGAAAGACGCTTAGCTTCCCTTGGCTTCGATCCGACACCCTTCACTTGTGTCCAGTTCATGAACCACGGCACTTTTCGGGGAAATTACATACATGCACCGTCGGGGTTAACCTCAATCGGATAACAGTTCAGTGGTACTGTTAACGTGGACGTCATTTTTTTCTTGGGTAGATTTTCTAGATAATTTTACAGACTGCAGTGAGATGTAAACCACACTTCTGCGATGTCCACGAGCAACATCCATTCTCCACGCATTTCCTCGACGTTTTTTAAAATAAAATTAGATTTATTTTAAATTTATTTATTTTTTTTTTTAATAAAATTCAAAGCGTTTATAAACAGATTGAGCGGTGCCGTGTTTACAAAAAATGAACACATACTCGCGTAATACTCACGTAACCAGGGCTCTACATTTTCGAAGCTCTAAAATGAACTCGTGTTTTGTTTCTCTCATACATACGTGTTCGACGCTTCATTTCTATATCGCCTAGCTAGACTATTAGCAAGAAACGAAAATAAAAAAGCAGGATGCTTAGAAGGAAAGGCTGGCTGTGGAACTTCTCGTTGTTGCTTTGCTCATCGCTTTCAATGTAACTAACGTCGATTTTCTAGTTAAACGAAACTTCATTATGGCTTTCAATTCCCTTTCACGAACACTCTATCACCGCTCTTTCAATTTGTTTAAAATGCGTTATGTCCCGTTTTCGATCATTTTTTTTTAGATAAATATATGGATGGAAGATAAATTAAACATATTACGTGTAATCTTCAAGTGTTTTCACGTGAGAAATGCTTTAAATGTGTTATTTCATTTTCCGTCATATACGTCATGAAATCTCTGTTGATATGTTTCATGAAAGAGAAAACTATCAAAGTCGAGCGCTCTTTCGCTCATCCGTTTCACCGAAGCTTGAAAGGAAGACCAATGGAGCGACGGGAGAAAGAGAGACAAGCGATTGAACATTTGTTTGTGCACGCCGACTGAGGTTCTAGAATGCTGCGAAGCTTTTCGACTTTAACAGAAAAGGAAAGCCAGCAGTCTCTTCGTCGCATCGATTTGGTCGATTGAAGCTGATATTGTGACGCCCTGCACGT